AAAAAAAAAAAAAAAAATGGCTGTCTAGTCAAAAGACAAAAAATTCCAGAGCTTGTGTTCTTTCCATACTACAGAATTCATACTAAATGACTTAAAGATTTCAGCATAGGATCCACAGGGTGTACATATCTCACCACCCTGACTAGATAGTGTGTTCTGTACTCAGTATAGGATCCACAGGGTGTACATATCTCACCAGCTTAACCAGATAGTGTGTTCACTACTCATTAAGACACAGACGGTGCAGTGTATTCAGATAACAACTACAGACACTGATATATATCACTGTATATATATAAAACAAAAGCTGTATGAGTATGTACTAGTAGTAGAGCTGTACATATAGCTTTTACTTACTGGATACATAGTGTTTTTTATTAGAGAAAATGCCAGTTGACTTTGAGACTAAACAGACTATTACGACATGTGATCAGACAGCAAAAAAAAACAACAAAAAAAAAAGCTCAGACTGTTATTTGTAATTGAAATCGATACAGCCATGTTTTGCTTACTGTTTCGTTTGACCTGAATCATCTATATTATTATTTGATAAAAATGGAACTACTCACAGGTGAAAGTTATGGATTATTGAGAACAATAAAACAACATTTAAGATAAGCTATGTCAGTATATTTTATGGCCTTAAATATTGCAGTTGGTTGCATAGGCAGTGTTTTTCCTGGGTTTAATGGGCAAAAGTTGCACCGAGCAATTTACAATTTTTAGACATTTTGTCAGTGATATTAAGTAATAAACATAAGACAATCAAAAGTATTAGGCATTAGCCATTAAACAGATAATATCACTGGAGAAATTATGCATATCAAGTAGGATCCATGCATCAGAATTTAAGAATCAGAACTCATTAACACCTTATCAAATAGGACCCTTGTATCAGAAATAAAGAATCAAAACTATAATTAACACCATTGATATCTCCTACTTGACAGTCTTTAAATTAAATGATTTGTTTTTGTTAGAATTGTGATAACGCAGTTAGGCACAGAGCTTAGAAAAGTAAATAAGGTGGTATAGGGACCACTTAATCAGGTAATTCCCAGGTGGAAGCGAGGAGAAGATAAGTACCAGATAAGCCAGCACTGGCTGTGTGTTGAGGTATAGGTGTACAGGTAGAGCCAACAGCTGGGCAGACTGCAGTGTGGCGTACCTGTCTTGGACCTGTGACAAGAAGAACTTGAAGAAGGAAAGAGACAGAGGGTGACAGATGCTTAGAGCAGAGGCAACGAGGATAATATGTGGTCCACCTTTAGCTGGAAATAAACCTCAGGTGGATTACTAGATATGCTGGAGCAAGGAGCTTTCTGTTAGGAGTTACATTTACAGAATTTTGAATCAGGGATGAAACTGTGGTTGTAAAAGTGTAGATACTATATAGTGGAGACAACTATAACTATTATATATTACTAGTACTTTATTGGGCCTTAGTTGGGGACTTGTCTACAGTAAAGCTTGGTGCAATTCTAGAGAGCTGACAATTTTTTTCAAGCAAGGAAAAGGATCAGTCCTGCAAGTCACCAATGACTGGACGTCACTCAGTTTGAGAGATACGAGTACAAAGGGGAATTGAGAATTATAGCATGTAGGGATGAGACCCTAATTTGAGGGGACAGAACCTATAATTAGCCCATTAATGAGTATAAATATCTAAACTAAAATACAACAAGAGGACATTGTCAAAGTAAAAGAAGTTGAACATGATATAGAAGTGACCATTTAAAAGTACCAGTTAGCCTTTAATCTAGAGGGTCAGGTAAGTTTCTCTTTGACCCTGTGATCTTAACCCTCCATAGAACACAGCTGAATACATATGAAGAAGAGAAATAGACCATAGATATAATTTACACATTGGTGTTATACAGGACCATCTCTGTTTGCTTGACTGCCAGTCATTACCTACTCACTTGGTCAAGCCGTAGTGGACATTGCTGTATATATACTAGTATATGTATCTGTATGAACACAGGAGATTGTCAGTGACAGGAAGATATATATACCAGCAAGTCTGGGTGTCAGCAACAGGAGACTGCTCCAATGGCACAATTGTCGTAATATTCCGTACCATGTTGCTATTTTAGTGTAAAGACAATGATGTCCTTGAGGGGAGGATTACAGACACGTAGGTAACACGCTTGCAGTACAAGATACTGTGTGTGGAGTTCAGTGTGTTGTACTCAGAGAGACAGGTTCACCCTTTGGATATTGTGTGTGGTTTAAGTTTTAACAAGTGGCTGGAAGGATCAGAGAAGAAAATGCTGGACTTGACTGGAAGTGCTGTTGCTATGGATGTGGGTAGATAGGATTAGTATAGAGGCACTGGTGTTCTACATATATTGTAACCTGAGCTCTTTTGGAGACTGTGTGTGCATTGGTTTTTGGATAGTGACATTGTAAATGTCAGTTCTGTCACTTGTCAGCTGTCACCTTTATTTCTTTGCACCTGGGGAGCTGTGATTTGATACTGTATGTATTGACTTAGACTACTGACTGTGCATGAACAGGTTTCTTGTGGATTTAAAGATTAGGTGTAGTTTATGATGGACAAAAACAAGTCAATTTAGACATATTGCACAGGTATTTGCCTTATCAAGTCAGTGATGTGGACAGATTGCCAAACTACTTTTTGAGTTGAAGTTGAGCAATTGTGACAGCTTACTTAAATGGGTGAATTAGTTCTTAAATATTGACTATCTTGAGGAGCAGGCACCAGCACACCCACATTGTGGCTTTTAATCTGTCACTGGGATGATTCTTCAATTACTGGTAGACATGAACATGAACTCAAATCATCATGACGTCTTTTATGTTGTTTAAGATCCACCTTACCTTCAGATGTCAAAAGTCACTGCAAGAGTAACACCGTGACTTTTTAATTTTGGGACTTTGCACTTGGGGGATCAAGTGTAACATGTTGTGATTACCTCAGACATTTTACTCACAGCTGGAAAACCTGTTTAATTACTTGTGAACTTGCTTGCAGTCCAGATATTTTTTTCCTCATATCTTTGACATACAGATTCTCACTGATGCCAGCTAATGAATTTTACATTTAAAATTACTTAAACACCTTTTAAGTGACATATAGGATGTCATAGTAATTTATTTAAATGTTATGAGATAAGATAACATTATATTCTGGCAATCTTTCCTTCAAGAGTGACCTAGAATCCTTCCCAGGACATTTTGACTTTTCCATTTTGAACAATTGACAAAAATATTTTCATCAGTTCACCAGCTGGTGTACCGCTGCTGACATGTGGAGGACATAGAAAAAAAGAAAGTGTACAAAAAAAAAAAAAAAGAGAGGGAGAGGAAACCAATCACACTTTTATATTTGAGGAAGGAGGCACATTACCTAACAGCTTTTATCATTTCCAGACATTGCAGGAAAAAGGATTTTTGCTTCATTTCCACTGTTCTTAGGTCTTCAAATATCTCCGCTCAGGAAACATGGAGTCCTTACCCAAAGCCCGTTCTTATATGAATAGTAAAGAGAATATTGTTCTTGTTCCTAATGCTAGTTTTGGGAAGAGGAAGTTCATCCAGTTTTCCGTCATGAATCGTCAGACCAGTTTTGCGCGCTGGGTGCAGGGCCAGAAAGAAAACCAGTCTCACAGTAGAAACAGTAAGTATTCTGATTGGTGTGTTTATGTTTGTTAATTATTGTATTTATTTATTTATTTATTTATTTATTTATTATACTGTAACAATTACAATATTTGGTCATTTGAAATCTTACCTGAAGAGATTAAAGTATTCATTTATTTAATTAATTTTTTTTTCTGTTAGACCAATATTATTGTCAGTTTATAATAAAGCTTTTGAATAATTAATCCCTTCCAATATACAATACAATAAGTTAAAGATGACTTGTACCTATGGCAAGGGAAATATAAAGACTGATTTCAACAAAGCAGTAACACGGTTTTAAAAAAATTGAACAATAAGAAACTACATGGGCCGCTAATGTTACTTGTGCTGTGAGTGTTACAGTAAATTATGTTCTGGAGAGTGACAACAGGGAAGTAGGTGGTGCCAGGGTCCTGCTGGTACTGGCTTGCAAATCTGGGTCATGTTTTGGAGACAACTGGAAACAGTAATTCAGAAATAAGGAGCCCCTGCAGAAAGGAGAGGCTGTAGAGGCTTTCCATCTTGAACAGCAGCCTTTTCTTACTTTTTAGTGAAACGGGTGTCCTTATTTACTTGGAGTAAAATTTTCAGTCTTAAAGGCAAGCAGTGATCTATTGTGAAACAGGTCTTAGAACTTGGCTGTTACATCTCTGGCACCTGCTGTGCTGCTGAATTGGAACAGCAAGAAAATGGGAAATGAATCATCATATTTATTACCATGAATTTCTTAGGACAGACCACAGAAAATGTTTTTTTTTTTTCTGGTTCAATATTTACAATTATACTCTGTCAACCATTTGCTGTTCTGAAAAAAAAAGAAGAAAGAAAAGGAAAACTGAGTCTGGGAGTTACATCACCCTAAAGAATTCCATGTTTGTTGATTGTATCATGTATGGCCCTGCTGTTTTGAGCCTAATAAAATGAAAACAAGAAAAAAAGGTGAAGAAATTCAGGAAATTACTTCATCCTGAGTTCCATTCCTCAAAAATGTTTCTTATCAGAGTTTCTGAAAGTTTTTCCCCTCTTTTGTATGTCTGTTCTCAAAGGAGTTTCCTGCATCTTTGGAAGAGAAAAAGACCCTAGTGTAAAGCCGTTGGCAGAAATGTATCAGATTTGTTCTGTTCTTCAACAATTTGCAGAAAAAAAGTGTGATGCTTAAGATCTAAATAAAAGCTGCTGTTTTTTTGTCTTGACTTGGTGCCAGGACGTTGCCCTTTCTGGAAACTTGCCTTCAATATTAACACGTGCTTGCTGTTTTCAGATTTCCAGTTTTCTTTGAAACACAAAACAATATCTGGAGACCATATCATTACTTAAACCTAAATAATTGATTAGACCAAATTTATTATAGATAAGAGAAAAAAAAAAGATAAAGGGGGATGAAATAAAAAAGAGCAATTATTTGGAAATTTCCATAGCCAACTTAAGAAATATTTGAATGTCAGTAGCTTTTCTATATATCCTGAATGGTAGTGTCTTCTTTTCATAGACAAGAGAAGAGCCACTGAACATGTTGACATGGCATGTACGCATGTGCATACTGAACTTGTCATTGAACATGTACATGTGTACCTCATATATACTTGCACATACATATACATCTCATATATACTTGCACATACACTGCATGTGTACTTGCACATAAATATACACACTAAACGTGTCATATTTGTTTCATTTTCCAGTGAACAAGCAGTGGGTTCATCCTCCAGAAGCTCTCCTCAGAGGACATATAGTCTACAATGTCAAAGTAAGTGGATTTGTACTGGAACAGATACATTTTGCTACATAGTTATAGATTTGTACAGTGTACATGAACAGTGTCAAAGTTGGTGGGCTGTAAAGATACATTTTGCTACATAGTTACAGAATGGTAGAATAATAGAATAAATCACCCTTTGTGTACAAAGTGAGATTATGATAGTAATGCAATAACTATGGCAGTTTTCTTATGTAAAGGTTTTTTTGTTTTTTTACAAAGAACCTAAAGACAACTGATAGATCTAAGATCAAATTTTCTTCATTTGTTAATTTTTTTCATATTTTCTAGTATCTTGGAGGATGTGGAGTGGAAACAGCCAAGGGGTCTGATGTAGTCAAGGATGCAATTAGGAAAATGAAGGTAATGTGAAAAAAAATAATAATGATGAAATGATAAAATTTTCTTACTTGATCACCATACAACTGAAACTTTCAGTAAAAATAGGGCAAGAAAGGAGTCTTCAAATAAACCCCTTCAGATTTTAATTTATTGTAAAGTCACCAAAACTTTTGTTTTCAGTTCAACAAACAGTTAAAGAAGTCAGAAGGCATCAAGCCGGCCAAGGTGGAGCTGACAATATCCGTGGACGGGGTAACCATTCAGGATCCTAAAACCAAAGTAAGTCACTGTTCACCAAAGTTTAAATCCACTCTTCCTGCTTCTTTTTGGAGCTAGTCTGAAGTTAAGCAGGCTTTACTTTTCATTCTTCTGTGAAAGGACAGAAGTTTGACAGAAGCCGTTTCATAATCTTTTTGACCTATGATATGAACAATTGCATGCATGCAGGCAAACACACATCTCTTACAATTTTGGTTGTTTATTTATTTAAAAAAGGCATCAGATTCTGTAGTATGGCTTTTCATTTAACTTAAACCACAATGTCTACAAGTTCACGAATGAAAAAGAAAATTAAGTAATCAGGGGCGGATTTAGGCCGTCTTCTGGGTCTTCCGGAAGACGGTCAGATTTCCAAGTTTACATTGACGGGTATCCAATTTTTCATGTTGGAAGACGGTCAAAATTGGAGAATGAATCAACAAAGATAATTTGGAAGACTGTCAGTAAATAGGTCTGGATCCGCCCCTGGTAATATCATTAACACAGACCTTCTGTGCTTTTCACATAAATAAAGGACAGCATCAAGGGGACCACACAATCACAATAAATCTATATCATTTCCAGATTATCAAGCACCAGTATCCTCTGCATCGTATCTCTTACTGCGCAGATGACAAGTCAGACAAGAGGATGTTCACCTTCATTGCCAAGGAGGCGGACTCACAGGATCACACCTGTCACGTGTTTGACAGTGAGAAATGTGTACGTCTGTCCAAGTTGTCATCCTGTATAACACTGTGGGGATTGTCTGATTTGGGTGAAATTGTGATACATATATTGTTTAAGTTGAATGAAGTTGTGGTTGAAATTGTGACATAGGTTGAGTCAATACTTACATGTTTCAGTAGCAAATGACTGCCAGGTCCTCACTTGCCCTGTCTTTCACAAATGGCAAATGCATTGAGTTGGGTGAGATTGCTACAATGTCACACCTATCGCAATGAAAAACCATGCACTGGAACTTTCAGGTGTTACCTATTATGGACAGTTTTGATTGCATTGAACCAAGACTTCTCTTGTCCAGTGTTGGTGCAGCGTGCTTGTCATGTGGTCACAGCCAGAAGTGAAATTGTGTTGGGTTGTGACAATTGAGATCATACTAGCACACCTAACACAATTAGGGAACACTTGTTCACTATATGAATGTCATATTTTCCATTCCAGTCTGAAGAGATCACTCTGACAGTGGGTCAAGCATTTGACCTTGCCTACAGAAAATTTCTGGAGTCTTCAGGACGCGACATGGATCTCAAGAAACAGTTCTTGCTGCTGCAAAAGAAGGTAATTAAAAGTGAAGTTGCACATACATGTTTTAAAGCAATTCTGCATAGACTTACCAAGCTATTTTATATACCCTATTGTAAGGAGAGTGTTTGAAGGAAAAATGGGTCTCGGATTCATTTACCAATGTTTTCCAGCTAGTAAATTTGACCTGGACTTCGTAGTAATCTTCGGGTGTACTAGTCAGAGCTACCAATGGACTGCAAAGTTATGAAGTTACAGGCGTGGACTACTCAATCACTTCCTAATGTCCGTTTATCTTTTTTGCTATCACATCCTAATATCCCAGTGTCTCTCGCCCCCAGGTCCAGGCACTGTCCCATGAAAACCAGGAACTGAAGACCAGGATCCAGGAACTGGAGGGCATGAAGGACAGGGACGAGATCCAGAGATACATGGAGCAGAACCATGTACGTACCACCTCAGATCCCAGGATATCTGACCTGGAAAGACAGGATTATTATTATTATTAGTAGTAGTAGTATTTATTATTATTATTATTATTATTAGTAGTAGTAGTATTTATTATTATTATTATTATTATTATTATTAGTAGTAGTAGTAGTATTTATTATTATTAGTAGTAGTAGTAGTAGTAGTAGTAGTAGTAGTAGTAGTAGTAGTAGTAGTAGTAGTAGTAGTAGTAGCAGTAGCAGCAGTAGTAGTTCAATAAAACGCAAGATGAATTTGGGTATTTTTCCATTTTTGACGGATCTGAAATGATGTTGAACCCAATTTCAGTTAGTTTATATGAAGATTACCCCATGGTTTTTGAGTTAGCTAACACATAAATGATTGGTGGCCAAAGTTTTGAAAATTTTTATTTATAATTGCTGTTGTGAATTTTGATATGAATATTCTCAAACTTACATATCAAAAGGAAATTTTATAAAAAGGCTCAAGTTGCAAAATTTTGAGTACAAAACTTATCAAAAATTTTCTCCCTTTGAATATAGATCTTATGTATCTTAACAGTTTATTTGAAACCCTGCCCACGCCTATATGTCTGGCTTCCTTTATTTGAAAATATACAGGAATTAAATAACAACATATTATTATTGATTGCATGCCCTGATATGGAAATAACCATATTAACAGGAAGCATTTTATTTAACTAAGAGCAAATTGACTTGTGGTTTATCAGAAAAGTGATGACATTTCTGAAGATAACATGTCACAACTGACCCTAGACATAGAAATAGAAATACTGAAAAATTTAGCTTTATTTTTTTAGAAATTACATGTTCTGGTTGTTATTTTCTTTGTCAGAATTTTTAGCTCTCAAGTCACTATTTAAGACATTCAGGTGGAGGTGTCAATTTTGTTCATCAGTGTTTTAATTAAAAATTGTAATAGTCATTCTGGTGAGGATACACACAGTTATAATTGTCTCTATTTTTGTTGATTTTACTTTTAATTTATTTTCCTTTTTTTGCGCACTCTTTTTTTTTCATAATCTGCATGTGTTCATGTTTCCAGTCTATCACGCCAGCCTCACCAGTGTCTCCAGCTGACTTGATTGATTACAATTTTTATTTCGGTCACCATAGTGACCTGAGCACTGTGGCAACAGAGGCCACAGAGGTAACCATGTGACAGTCATGTGACCATTGTGTGACACACCTCTATATTTTGTGTTGTTTTACACTGTCATTACTTTTCTATACACCCATACTCATTATACTATGTACTTATTTAAGGCTGACACCAGTGTGAAATATCACAGTACCATTTTTGGAAAGAAAGAAAAATATATCTTTTTACTGAAGAGGTATTCATTTGCTATGGATTTTATTTGAACATCACGCCAACTTGTCAATTAAGACTTGGACAGTTTAGGCCAGATATTGCACAGTGGGTTCTCTGCCGTGGTTTCTGGTTTAAATTGTTTTCGGTCTGATTACACCCATAAGATCAGACAAACCATACTGGTGTGAGTTATAAGTCCCATGTATTTCCACTTGGTAGTCTAACCCTACAAGCTTTCTGTGCTTTTATTTCTCTAGATACGCTCTCTTGGTGAGATAACCCCAAGCCTTGTTTTCACAGAAGGAAAGTCCAAGCATAATGGGGAGGTAGGAGATACATGTATCTGCTTAAAGTTGCTTTCACATGCTTGGGTTTTATGTGGACCTGGCACACTTTTCAGTTTTGAAGTTCAAGGGTCTCACTATATGCTCACTATATGCTTCATAGAGTAGGGTTGACTGTTACTTTGCAGACAGGTGTATACTACATACATGCCCAGCTGGAAGAATGACTGACAGAAGAACAGACTGACTGACTGAAGGATTGACTGACTGACAAGATTAGTTTTTGACATTATACTGCCATGGTTAAAAAGAATAATTGGTAGGCTTCTATACTTTAGGAAGACACATACTCACCTAAGCTCTTGCAACTGGCAAACAATGGCACATTAATTTTTGCTTTTGTACCATTTTTGATTCAGCTTTTTAACTAAATGTATTTATGAAGATAGTAAATAACATGTCAGACTCTCAAAATAAAAATTCCTTATCAGCCTTTAAACACTGCTTCTGTCACTAAGGTAACAAAAGTACTGCAAATAGGTAGTTCAGTAGAAGTCTTATGTGATAAAGCAGTATAAAAATCATTGTTGACATTCTGAGATAAATCAACATAAAACATCAAATTTATGTGACTGGCAGTGTTAACTATTTTTTTAAGAGGAAAAGAGATTTAAAAAATCTTGGAGAGTTTTCTGTCTCTTTGCACAATTTCCTCTTCCTCAGTTCCAGACTCTCAACTTTGGGATCAGTTTTCATCTATATATTCTGATAGTTCTGTGATCTGATCTGATACACAGGGTGCACTGTCTGTTCTGTGATCTGATACTTAGATATATGTGTTCACCATTTTAACACAGTAAACCTTTCTGTGTTTTATATCACGTTTCAACCAGCACACTTCACAATCTGAGGGAGATTTTTTTTATTAAGATCAGTATAAATGTGTCCTGAAAGTCTGCACAAAGAGGGGGAATATCCATGATGTTGAACAATTGATGTGTACCCTGATGTTCACGGTGTATATTCTCTATTAACATTATAAACTCTGTATTCTGGTCATTGATTGGAGTGTTTTGAAGACTGAATTTCAGGGTACCCCTACAGAAGATTTAAGAATTTCAATTTAAAGTTTATCTTATTAACTAAGTTGACCATATTATTGATTAAGCCTTCAAATTTTATTGTGGGATAATTTAGTGAGAAAATAGCAAGTGCTTTATAAAATATTTTTAAAATTTTCAATATGATAAAAGTGATGTTTCTCCTGTTTTTAGACCAATGCCGAGAACAACCACCGCGAGGTCCCCACGGTGGGCCGGAGACTGGAGGGGCTGATATTTGAAGATGACTTTGTGCCTCAGACCAACGGCAGCGCTACTCCTAATACTAGTCAGTCGTCCCCCAGTCAGTTACCAATATGTGAGTATATTTGTGTATGGTTAACTTTTTGCCCCTCACCACTGAAGTAAAATTCCAGGTGTGATTATAAAGCACTTGTCAATAATTTTACATGTACTATAAAGGTTTAGCGAAGACTTATTTTACTAAGCATGTTTTGTATATGGTATGAAGTATGTCAGTTCTCAGATCTGTTAATGGACAGAATTCAGGATGTACATAAAAGGTTTGAATGCAGTCTCTAAGTAAAGATATGCTCTATAAAGCTGTCTAAATTTGTATTTTGCAGTGTCCCCACCCCCCAGCACTGGGAAGAGACCTCACCATGGCACACCCACCTCACCAGCCAGTACTTCTAATAACCAAGGTACAGTATATATACTCTATCACCCACCTCACCTGCCAGTACTTCTAATAACCAAGGTACATTATATGTATTGTTAACAGTCAACAGTCAGTTAACTTGTACTTTTAGTTGTTCCATCTGGCCTTGCATGGGCTTGTATTCAGTTCTTTATGCCAGTTTTTAAATATTATCTTTCAACTTTTTCTCTTGAATAATTATGTACAGACACAGATGTGTCTGTACATATTGCCATCACCTGCGTCTGTCGTCGCCGTCGCCGATCATGTCGCCGTCGCCGTGCACTTTCAGCGTTAACACCATAAGTGGAAGACAGTTTTACTTTTGGGCTTTATATTTACAGAGCTGACAAATATTCATAAAACGCAGGTCAAGTTCGAAAATCAGCATGATCGGGCCATTATTGTAGAATTTATGCTGTTTTTTCACTTTTTAGCATATATGCAACACTGTTAACACATTTCAAGGAAAACCGATAGGCCTGTTGTCATGAAACTCACAGGAGTAATCAATCTTACTAAAACGCAGGTCAAGTTCGAAAATCGGCATGATCGGGCCACTATTTTACTAGTTATGCTGTTTTTTACACTTTTCAGCCTATATGCAACACTGTAAACACAATATAAGAAAAACAGATGGGCCAATTGTCATGAAAGTCACAGGAGTGGTCAATTTTACTAAAATGCAGGTTGAGTTCGTAAATCAGCATAATCGTGCCATTATTTTAGAAGGTATGCTGTTTTTTCACATTTCTTCAGATTCAATTTTTAGGCATGTTAACAGTCTCATTATTAAACTAATAAGATACGTGAAAGTGTTTGTTTGACATTTCCTGCATCTTTACAACATTGTTAGTTGATTATGTAAAAATGATGGTAAACTTGTTATCATGTATTGTATAATAGAGTTTCAAAAATGGAAATAAACTCATATCATTGCAATTTGTCAGATTCAATCATTCACTATGTTCAGAATCTCAGAATGGAAGAAATTGGACATTTAACACTGCTCTATTGATACTTTTCTCATCTCATCAATTTTCTTAGTTGATCATATAAAAATGGCAGTAAACTGTTAATTTTGTTTTATGTTAAAAATTGTTAAAAATGGGGAAAAAAACATTTCAGAACAGTGCTGTCTTGTTTACATTTTGGCATTTTCAAGTTGTGACTTTGAAGTTCCATGGGCCTGAAGACCTTTGCTAGTCACATTTTCTGAATATCCATGATACTAATATTTTATTAGTAAAAATTGATGGTCATTATGCTGTTAAACATTATGTAACATTGCATCAAAATTTGAAAAAAACCTATTTTGGGCACTGCTCCCATGATTACCTTTTAAGAAAAACCATGTCACTTACTGTTCTCAAACTTACAGGAAAGAAACATGGGACTAAAATACAGCTTCAGTAGGCAATGCAATCTGCCAGATAAACAGTTTTTTTTGTGAAAATTTAATTTTTCACATATTGGCATTTTCAAGGTGTGACTTTGAAGTTCCACAGGCTTGAAGACCCAGGCTAGTCACATTTTCTGAAAATCCATGATACATATATTTTGTTATTAAAAATTGATTGTCATTATGCTGTTAACCATTATGTAATATTGCATCAGAATAGAAGAAAACACAATTTTGGGTGCTGCTGCCATGATGACCATTATGGGAAAACCATGTTACTTATGATTGCCAAACTTTCAAAAAAGAAATACAGGACTAAAATGCAGCCTGACTTGGAAAAGCAGTCTAATTGACTTCTTTTTCTGGAAGTTTTACATTTTCAAAGTGTGAACCCATGGGCCTGAAGCCTTATGCTTGTTTCACATTTTACTTACATTGGTATTACCTGTTGAGCATAATTAAAATTTGATGTTGAATTTGCAGTTTAACATAATGTACTTTTGCATCAGAATTGACAGTAGCCTATTTTGTTTTTTCCTGCTTTTTGTCTGTACATTTGACAGCTTTGCTGCCTTGTTTTTTTATTATTATTAAAGGCACTTTAGTAATTGAAACCAAATTGGAGATAAATTTGGCCAAAACAATCAAGTATTCTACGTTCTCTGTAGCCAAGTTAAAATGTATTTGACATTTGGCTGAATGTTAAGAAGGTGTGAGTCCAGCCTCTAGATCTAACATTTTATCTCAAACATATATTTCAGATTTATTGGGCTCCAACCCCTTCACCTCACCTAGCAACAATGTATCTGGTGGAGAGGATCCATTTGGTATGGGGGCCTTCAACCCTAGCGCCAAGGACCTTGACCACGCTATCATGAAGGTTGACAAAGAACTGTTGGACTTACAGGTAATGGAAAGTTGAAATAGAACCACATAAAATGCTAATTGAAAAATGTTTAATAGGCTCAGTTTCTTTTCCTGACTTCAAAGGAACACAGACAGTATTTTTATGTCAATCTGTTTTTTGTGTGTTTGTAAATCTATCTTGGTTTATGGAAAAATGTATTCATATCAGCTTACATAATTGGGCCACAGAATTTCATAAAAATTGTAACTATTTGATCATATATATATATATATATATATATATATATATATATATATATATTATTGATAAATTCTGCACGAATATTTTTCCCTGAATGTTTCTATTAACACTATCTTTTCGTGTTTGGATGCATATGGTTTGTTTTTGCCATGTTTTCCGTCTCAAGCATGACCAGTATAACTGCACTGTTTGTGTGTTCTTCCAGGCTGGCTTCAGTCAAGGATTGTCCTTTGGCACACATGACTTTAATCTGGATGATCTAGACCCCTTGAACAAGAAGTAAAATATAACTGTAAAAGTTCTGTCTGCTTACATTATGCATGCTGACAATTCTATCAGCAACAAAGACTTAAAAGGACTGCTGCTGTTGCAGTGCATGAGAATGGTTATATTGAATGGGGTAACCTTGACCTTGAACACCTTAACAGGAGGCTGGTGACCTTGACCTCTGACCCATTTACTGATATCATGAACACTGACTTCTGCATTAACCAAGATTGAGGGCTGGGGATGTTTATCTTAACATGGTCAAGAAATAAAGTTGATCCTATTGCCAATCATGACAGACTGACCAGATTTCTCACTTTGTCATAATGGCCTTCAGCGGATGACCCACTGACCATTAGTGACCTTGAACTTCATGAACTTGACCTTGATAATCTTTCAGTAAATATAAGCAAGCAGAAATTCAAATCACATATCAACTGAAATGATGCTCAAGGTGTGTGAAAATGAGACCATTAGGAGGGAAGCGAGTGTCACCGTGAGGGAACCTCTCAGCAGTGTCACATTAAGACAGACTACGTGGGTGCAGTTGACTTCAGAGACTTGGAGATGCCCCCTGCTGTAACCTTGTACCTCCATTGTTTACTTTTGATAGGAGATATAACAGAAATGTAAACACTTGTCCAATGCACTTACTTCAGAGGATATTTGAGTATTATAATTTCTACATTAATCAAACCATAAGCAGTATGTGTTGTAGTCATTCTGTACATTGCATAGTATGACATCCTATAAAATATCCACTTAATATATTAATATTGTCTGCATAGAGAAAATCTGCATATATTTTTGTGGAATATGTAACCTAGAGCGTAATTAGTAATAGGCTGCATTCAGAAAATGGTCCTCGGGCCAAATATGGCAACTGACTAAAAAGCTTGCTGTCTATTCCTGTAATAGAAACTGTATAGATTTCCTGTGGGGAATGTTCAAGTGGGTCGGCCATATTTTGACACGTGGACTAGTTAGTCCCCTGTTCTGAATGTGGCCATGGGAAGCACAATGGATTGGTTGGTTGTGTGACTTAGGCTGGGGGAATTCTGTAGACCACTACTACTAGTATAGACCTGAAATCTTGATGAAATTTTATGTGCCAAATGGAGATAAATATTGGAAACAGGACAGAGAAGAGCATGTCTGGTATCAAAATATGTGCAGATGAAGCAAATATCAAATTAACATGCATATTAAAACCGTAAGTTTTTGAATTATGAAATTTACATTATGTAGTTGTGGGTAGGGGCAGTCTTTATACATATTTAGGTAGCTAAGGAATGCAAACAGGAGTTGATGGAGCGATGGCAGAGTGTATAGAAATGACTGCCAGACTACGGCTATAAAAATAACGTTCCATGTATTTTTTAGCAAATGAAACTACTTTGTACTCTTTATCAAATAAAAAATTGAATCATATTAACTTCAGCGGTTTCTTTGTAAGGTAGATGTAGAAGGGACTGATAAAAAATCTATGGATTTTTCTTGAGTTGGATATGTTGACAGTCAAACAGAGCTGTCTTTCAGTGTTCATTTAGTGCTTGAAACAATATATATGGACAATGTATAGAATGCAGCTCTGACTCCCAGGGCACAGTGTATTGTATAAAGATGAGGTCAGTCTGTGCAATATATATATATATATGTAAACGACGTAGCCATGTATCACTTTATATACAATATATGTAACATGATAGATGAATGCAAGTTTTAGCAGTCACCTGAGATATAAAGTTTGTGTATATGTTTTGTGTCAACAGAAAGTTAATGATTCATTCAAAACATATTAGGATGGATTAAGTCCTGTTATCTCAGCCTATTTTGAGGTTGTTTGATCTGATGTCCACACGGTCCATGAAGCAACTGTGGACATGTACAACTGTGTCCAAATTCTGGGAAGGCAGAGGAGGTGGATATCCCCCCCCAAACAATTACTTTATTTTTCAACAATACTTTGATTAAACTTGATAATTAGAATCCACTGTCATACGATCTTCTCTGATCCTACAAATACTGAGATGATGAAATATGTTCCTGATGACTTATCAGATTTTTGCCCAAAGTAAATTTACGGCTATCTTTCACCATTATTAACCTCTGTGAATAATTTTCACGTAATAATTTTATAACTAAGACAGTTTATGAGCTAAATATATTAAACCGAGTTGTATTATGCCACTCCATTACAGAAGTCACTTTTCTTTGACATCAAACCCCAACTTGTGTCTTTGATAGAATTATTGGCATAGTTTGCATTACCAATATTAACATTTTAAGGGAGTTGTGTGCAAAAAAAAAAAAAAATTGAAAAAGAAAATATTGTGATTTTCAATGGGTGCCTTACATTGTTGAAATATATGCCATAAAACTAGTGTTGAAATTTAGTATATACTTGTACACTTGCCTTCAAAGGGCATTGCATTTTCACAAATGATGTTTATAGGCATGTATTCTGTACTTGTTGATTGATGAATTTGTTCTACAACTTTTATCATAGATGCAGATTTTTTTTTCTTTTTTTTAAACAATTATCAACATTATGGTGATCATATAGGTGATTGGGCTACTAAGTGTAAGATTTTCTTGTTTGAATCTCAAATTTGCAACACTTTCTCCGAAAAATGCAGCTGTTTAGCTCCAGATTTGACAAAAAAAGCCCTACAGACACTGAAGCGGTTTAAATAGCACTCTAGATATTATTTTTGATTCGTGTAGAATAAAAGCAGCTTTGTTGGACCTATGCAGTGTATATAGGACAAAATGCATATACATTTATATATACAACATTCTTATACATAGATATACATATCCAAGTTAGAACAGTGAATCTGCATGAACATCAATTATTATCATGAAAGGATAATTGTTATTATACCAGAAAAATCATCTCAAATGTTTGTATTACATAAATAGAAACTGCTATAAGTTGGATATTTGATATTTTTATTATTGTATTTCAGTAATAAAATCCCGGATTTATTTGTATTTATGTAGCGAATTGATAAGGGTATAAATAAATGTCTGTAAATATTCATGAAGTAAAAATTACTGTATTGATGACACAACAGATGTGACCCCAAGCACACAGTTAATATATTGTCATTATCAGAAACTTAAGCAGTTTGAAAAAAAATTCTTGGAACAATTTACGAGATTAAATATGTTTATATCAAAATATATAGTGACCTTGTTGTTTTGTGCTATGAAATTATTTTGTAAAACATGCAGCATGTAGAAGAGTTTTCAGTAAACTGGGGATCGGGGGGGGGGCAGAGAACTGCTTCATTTCAGGTTCATAATGTATCTTGTTTGAATGCAAGAGGATTTGTTTCAAGTCTTGAAAATGCATCAAATGGCTTCAAAATAACCCGCCAGCGTTGTTTGCAAGTTGGACATTCAGATATGTGACTTTTGTATGCCATTATTGACGGTTTTCTCTTATTTACAAAACATCTTGGTTATAAAACTGACCCGCATGGAAAGTTGAAACAAGTCTTTTTCTATCGCTTTAACTTTTGTTACCTGCACACAAGAATGCTTAGTACGATTTTTTCTTTTTGCATAACACTTAAAAAACAATATCATAACATTTAAAACATAATTTACTGATCCATATATTCAAAGTTTTTTATTTTTATTTTTTTATTTTCAGCGTGGGAAACTTCAGTGGCCGTGGAGTGAAATTACTCCAGGGAAATTTGAAAGTTGAAGTCAAGTTGTTAACACTGTATATACACATGTACCTTAAAAAAAAGGCCACTGTTACAGACAAACTTACTTATCAGTCAATACTTTACAATACTGGAAAAAAACAGTTAACTTGGACACAAGTTCTGAAACAAAATTCCTTTGACAACTTCAATGCACTTTCTCTAGTCGAATTTTAGTTTCAATGCTGAAGTTTCAGTGTTGATGTCTCAATCTTTAACTTAAGTACTGTTTATTACATTAACTACAGAAGACATTGTATATCATCAATTACTAAATCTCATTTTCAAACCATTGTTTCAATCAAACATGCAGTTCTATGTTCCAACTGTGAGATAATTGTTAGAACTGCACTGAGATCATTTACTTTCTTTTTTTCGCTATCAAACATCTGAACATTGAAACTGAGATGCCTTTAAATCCTCATTTTCATTTGTAAGTCAATAATAATAACTGAAGTCTACAACAGAAAAAAATACTTGTTCTTCAAGAAGAAACCACTACATTCTAATGTACCGAGATTTCTTAATAGCACAATGGTTTGGTCTTGACACAGTCTAGGTATTACTTTAATATATGTTATCTAATGTCAAGATTAGCATATCCACCTTGATTAGTTAAAATTACAGATCTTCCAAGCTTTGTAAATGTTTTTTTTTTTAAGAACTAACCTTTTCATAGACGAAGATCTGTTTACCCTAAGCTCACAAAATGAGGAACTGACCAACAAAAGACGAAATTTACCACAACCCAGCCCGGCACAGTAAAAAGTTCTGGTATTATTCATAATTTCACACAAGTCTCTTCAACAACAAAAAACCCAGAAGATGCCATAATTAGTCATACAAAAAACACAGGACATTAAGTAGAACTTGTATCTATGTCTGAAAAACTAATAAAAGATCCAGATCATGTAAAACATTATCTGAATAGAATGTTCTTTTGCTATCACATAAAACCCATTGATCAGAAAAGAACATTCCAATAACCTAACAAAATATATTTTCCTTTCAGAATATTCTAACAAATACTTCACTGAGGTTTTGAACCAAACAACTAATGTTGTCTCCTTACACGCTATACAAGGACCACTCTCTCGTAGGGGACGGGAGTCATTTTGTAAAACAATAAGTATGGCGTCTCGCAGATACTGACTTGTTTATTCAACAAGCTCTGCATGTCTTCTTCGCTTTTAAGACAAATCCTTTCATCATCACACTCAAACCAATTCCCAGAATAGTCTGGGATGTCTACTTCATTCTGAGTGTAGATATTACAGGAGTTTGCTTTCCCTGCAGTTTCTTCTCCTTTCCGTTTAATTCTCTCTGAGACTGGACGTTGTCGCTCTGCAGATTTGGCGTCCGTCTTTTTGGAGGGGTCCTTCATCTTGTGAACAGGGGGTGCTTTGACGTAGGCAGTGTAGTGACCCGAGGAGATGGAAATACCGCTGTGCATGACAACTGCATACAATTCAAATCTGGAGTGAAGTGAAAATGAATCGAATGAAATACATTCATTGTAACTCTTATCTCAAATCATTCTATCAAATTACCAACACCCAAACTCTTTTTTTTTTGCAGTTATATTTATTCTTCTTTTTGACCTTCCATTCCTGGACACACTGATTTTAATTGCAATTCTCTTGAACAAATAATGCCTAATATATTTTCTCTCTTCATTTTGAGGAGTAAAATATCTGAACCTGAAAATTTTTTAAGATCTTTATATCATTAGAATATACCTTTATTGAAAACAATCTTACAAATGACATAAGCTAACAATGGTAGGGAAATACTAGCTTGTGTTCAAAAACTTAATTACTGTCTGATCTAACTACTAAGCTAATAAGGGACATTTTCTCCTAGAATATACTCACTCATGACTGTGTTTACGACAAGGCTGTTTGCACCTGTTACTGAAGCAGGGTAAAACCAGGGGCGTGGCCACGAAATCATTCACCTTGGAGATACCACCAAATAACCTGCAACCAGACAAAGACACATAAG